GGTGGTGAACGTTGTTCCCTGTAAGCTCAGTGCTTGGGCAGCCACCCAAGACAAAATTCAAATGCCGCCCAGCTGATTAGCAGAGCATTGACAGCATGTGTTTACCGCTGGCGCACACAACAAAATTGATTCCACACGTGTAAAGCCAACTGGCAGAACTAAAAGCCAGGGCATCTGGAGCTTAGGTCATGAGCCTCAACAGCTTGAACTAAAGCCAGATGGTGCTCAGCTATGGCTGTAGAGCAGACTCCTTCTTTCGCTGTGTAACTGGTCTCGGTGCCACTCCAGGGGACACCCAGCAGATGAGTGGGGAACACAGGGATGGAAAAAATGAGGGGGAACATTGGTGAGGTGGCACCAGTCTGTCTCCTCATCCCTAGATATACCCTCACTCAACAAGCCCAGCTTTACTCAAGAGCTCCCCAGAGCCATGAAGCTGATTAGCAGTAGATGGCGCTGCAGTCAGCCCCTCAAGGTTTTTGGGTGAGGGCAGCATGACAGATGCAGAGTTGTTATTCATAATGAGGTGGCAGTGGGCAGGGGCCCAGCTCCAGGCTGCAAACAGGGCTCTGACAGGGAAGCTGTCTGCTCGCTCACTGGCAGCTACTCCTAGGAGAAGGCTCTCCTGCCACCACCGGGGGTGGTGCAAAGGGACAGTGGTGAGGCAGCCAGCGCAGGAGGAAGGGGAGGGAAAGGATCAGTCTGGATTCAAAGGGAAGGCAGGGAGGTTGCCAGAGATGAGGGTGAGCCCAAATACAGGCAGTCCCTGGGTTACATGGATCCGACTTACATCGGATCCCTATTTACAAATGGGGTGAGGCAACCCCCCCCCCAGCAGACCGCCGAGACACGCCGCGGTCCCACTGCCCGCATCCTCCGCGGCGAGAAAAGCCGCTCCGCGTCTCCCTGGTCTGCAGGACTGAGGGAAGTGAGGTGTGGGAGAATAAAACTGACCTCTGGAGAAATGTTTGGCTAGAGTTTCCCCTACAATATGTACCAGTTCCGACTTACATACAAATTCAACTTAAGAACAAACCTACAGTCCCTATCTTGGATGTAACCCGGGGACTTCCTGTAGGGAGCAAGGAGGAAGCATGGAGGGGGTGGGGGGGACTCCCCCTCTTGAGACACAATCTAACCCTTTCTCCCCCTCGTTCCCTGGCTGCCCCTCAAAACCAGCTACCAAGGACACAATTTTGGGCAGGTAGCGGGGGCAACAGCCCTGTGCTCCAGGACCAGGTTTGCTTTTCATCCCATCCCCCAGATGCTAAGGGAGTGAGGGAAAAGTGCTTGCAATGCATGCATGCCTCACCTGGCTGGGGAAGGAAGCTCACCAGCCAGGTGTGAGAAGCATGCACAGACTGCAAGCAAGGCCGTCCTACAACATTTTGGCACCTAGAGGCAGGGAGCTCAAATGACACCCCCATGTCCTCTGGCTTGGGCCAAAACTTTGAAAGGTCTCAATTCTCTGGGTCCTAGTGGTTCCCCCTCCCAACCCCAGTCTGGCACCTGAGGCAGGTGCCTCAGGTTGCCTCATGGTAAGGCCAGCCCTGACTGCAAGCACTTTTCCCCTCGCTCCCTGATAGTCCAGGGAACAGGCTTAAAAGCAAACTAGATCCTGGAGCACATGGCTGCTGCCCCTCAACACCCTCCCAAAATGGTGCCCTTGCTTTCTGCAGCCTCCCTCTGGCTGCCAGGAGATGTCCTGCATTTTCACCTTAGTGTGGACAGCCGGAAAGGGAGGAGTCAGATGAGAAGAGCAGTGGAAAGGGAATGGGGATCAGATGTTGGGGGGAAACAAGCTGTTATGAAGATTTCCATCCTCACAAGCAGGGTCATGGGGATGGGGAGGCAGAGTGGGTAGGACAGCCCAGGCCTTTAGCCTTGGAGAGGAGGCTCCAGTGCCAGCAAACTCAGTCCTTTTCCTCAGCCATGTGCCTTTGCCCTCAGGGCCCCTGACAGCAAAAATGCTCCCTAGTGAATCTATCCTTGGACAAAGGAGGAAAGTGGGGCAAAGAAAAGCCATTTGCGCCAAGATGACAAGCTGTGGCAATGCTAGGGACAAACCCAGAAGTCCTGCCCAGGGCCTCCAGCACATGGCCAACCCCAGCAGAAGGCAAAGGGAGGAGATCAGAGAGGAGCTGCCCAGAGACTCTTGAATCAAACTGGAATGGAGGACGCGTAGGTGGGCACAGGGAGCCTGTGTGGCAGAGCCCTAGACAGCAAGGGGCAGCTGTGAAGGCAATTCAGCACAACGTCCTCCAAGAGCACAGCCCCTCAGCACTCGTACCTGCTCATGGACTCCACAGCAGGCAGCTCAGAAGGGATGCGGGTGGGTAAAATACTATCCTGCCAGGGCTTATGGTTAATTATTTTCTCCAAGTCACCAAAAGGTGGGAATGATGGATTAAATGTCAGGATTTTTTTTTTTTTTTTTTTTTTTTTGAGAATTCTTTAAGGAGACAGGGAATTTTAGCCCACAGTCTCAGCTCCACCCCACTGTGTGTGGTTTAACTCTCCCAGCACTTTGATACAGTTGGCATCTTCCCTCACCACCTCTGCCACCATGCACCACCCCAGGCCTAGCAATATCTGTGTGGTGGGATGAACAGATCCCGAGGTGTCGCTTAAGCAGCAGCTGTTCAGTGTGTACAGTCTTCAAGCAGGGAGGTGAGATGCAGGGAGAAGAGCTAGTAGATGGCCAATAACATCCCTTCTCCTTGGAGATGTAAATGTTGGAAAGCCACTAACTCCAGGTCCATCTCAGCAGCTCGAGTCTCTTGTAGGGATGTTAAAATTAGATCAACTAATTGAATAGTCGATGGAATTTCCATCGACTATTCGATTAGCTGATAAGGGCGCTTCAGCTTTGGAATGTAGCAAGAACCCGCTCGGCTGTTGCTATGTTTCAAAGGCAGAAGTGGCGCAGCCGTAGCAGAGACTCTTGTGCATTTCAAAGACTTTTGAGTCTCCTGCTGGCTCCAGACAGCGCTTCCATTTTGAAATGTACAAGAGCCCCAGCAGGACGCTTGTACATTTCAAAGGTGGAACCATTGCTGCTGCACCCCGACCCCTGCCACAGAGCTGGAGCAAGGGGGAACCGGCTTTTAAGGCAGCCCTCCTTTTCCCCCTCCTTGCTGCCTCCTTTGATAGAGGCAGAAGGGGGTGGGGGAGGGGGGGACTAGTCACTTCCATCCTTAGTCTCCAGATGCCTCAGATTAAATAATCAGAGAAAGAATTGACAATTAAATCCCTTGGTGACCACAGATGTTCTGAGACATCTGCTGAGTTGCCTGGTCTCCCTGGGAGGGGAGCGGAACAGCAGCACAAGATGCACACTTCAGGAGCCCAGCAGCAGGGTTAGCACCTTCTAGAGACAACGTGCAGGGTACATCCAAGAGCAGCTGGGTGCGCTACTCCCAGCATCGGAAGACAGATTAGCTCTGCTAAAAATAGCAGGGGTTAGAAGGCTGAGCCCTATGCATTTGGTAAAGCACAATAGTCCTCCCATGATGCCTCTTCCCTTACCACACCAGTGGGACAGAGATAAACATAATGGCTCAGTACTCAAGGTAGCAATCCGTAAGGGGTTTTGTTTTTCCTGTTAACCCAAACCATGGGTGGTCCTAGAAAGATGTGACCATGCCACTTGGTACTGGAATCCATCTTGAATCTGGTATTTTTCCATGGGGATGGGGAGAACAAACAAATGGTCCCCACCCTGGGGAAAGCCGATTTAAGGCTTTTGTCTTCGGCCGACTTTCGAAATTGCCTTCCCACATAATGGGGATACACATGAAGAAAACCTGAAAACAAAGAATTGTAAAGACAGAGTCGTAGACCGAGGGAAAGGGGGAAGAGCAGGTGTTTCAACTCTGCCATGAAGCATTTTACCTGAAACAGGGACAAGGGGTGAGGGATATATTTTATAACAGCTTCTCTTAGGCTATGTCTACACTACAGGCTTTTAGCACAAAAAGCTTTATGAAGAAGAGTTTTTCCGCAAAAAACACGTCCATACTGCAAAAGCACATTGCAAAATCGATGCACTTTTGCACAAGAGAGCATCCACACTGCATGGACACGCCTGCGCAAGAAAGCTCTGATGGCCATTAACAGAATGGCCATCAGAGCACCTGTGCTTTTTCTCATAGGCTCTTTTTGCACAAGAATTCCTGGGGAGAGGAATAACTACTGCCAAAAGCCCTCTATACTGTCAATTTTCTATTTTTTTTCTTGCGCAAAAACACACTTGAGGTGTGGACATTGCAAAAACCTTGTAGTGTAGACATAGCCTCAGTGTATTAGGATTAGCTGGCATGTTTTATTTATTTTGGTTTAATAATTTACTTTGATCTTTTTTCTCTTGCAATCAATTAAATCCTACTTGATAAACAAGTTTTTATTACGTATACAAAGTCCAATGTAAAGTTCATCCTTTTTTATCAATGAAAAAAGATAGATGCACAGTGATTGCTTCCCCTCCAGTAACAATTATAAACATTCTCAGTATAAAAGTTTTATACAGAGTAAGAGGGACTCATTTGAGGTTTGTGTTCCTGGGTGCTGTCACTAGTCTTATCGCTGAGCCCTCCCAGAACTGAGCTGGGTTAAGCAGCTGTGTTGCTCTGCTGGGGGGCCGTTGCCCCAAATCTCTGCCTCAGCTGGGGGAGAGGGTGATGGGGCACCCCAAAGGACAGGTAGGCAGGCTCAGTGATGTAACCAAAACGCCAGCTGACAAACCCAACAAGAGGCCTCCGATCAAACCCATCACAATTCAGTCCACGGTTACCCATCTACAACCTTTACATATGCATCAGCACAGGCTAAAGCACAGAACTTCATAGTTCAGGGACATGAAACCGTTCACTTGCAGGGTGTGGTGTTAGTGTCTGAAAACTATTCCCACAGACCGACATGAAATGTTTAGATCCAGCATGAGTCCAAATTCTCACACATGTATGTATAAAAATGTAATTAATTTCACACCTCACCACGTATACACTATTTACATAATTTATTCAATCCACTACAGATTATCAAGACGGCTATGTAAGGCATACAGTTTCCTGCATTAGAGGTTATCAGATAAGTACCTTTTATTGGACTTCCATAAGTTTTGCCTTTCTTTATACTAGTTTATACAGACAATGTGTCATATGCAAACATTTTACCAGAGATGTAAAAAAAGGGGCTCTTTTTCCTAATCACGTACAAGTTATTTTATAACTTTCAAGCCCAGCAGAAAAAGATGGTTAGTATCTTCCACTGAAGTAAGAAAAACACACACACACACGATGCTACAAAAAACTATGGTATTAGCACTTGTGCTGTTTCCCAGCTAATCTGAAGATACTAATAATTACATAAATACAAGGAGCAGCCAGACCACCGCTGCTTTTATACCTACACAGATCTGCATAAGGCACGTGTCTCTGTTGCTGAGGAACTGTGTATGAAAAGTGTTGGGCTGGATGTATCCCAGGAACAGTCACATGTGGCACTCGCTGTCACCACAGGAGGGAGGAGCCAGGCCTTAAGAGGGCAGCAGTTGGAGTCAGCTGGTTTGGTGTGGATTGGGAGAGAAACATAGGAACTTTGGTGGTTTCAAGAGGAGGATTTTGGGTGCTGATCTTTTCTTAAGAAGATGAAAAACTGAAGTCCACTGTAGTTAGCTGTAATTTAAAGAAGCAGGATTCCACTGAGGCATAAGGCAGACAGACAGCATTGTAAGTTGCTCATAGAGCAATACCAGACTTAAGCAATGGAAAAAATAGTACGAACTGTATCAGGGAGTCAGCCTATTGCTTGGGCTGAGTACAAGTGGGCCAGTCTGTTTTATACACACACGTGGGTTGGATGTTCCCCAGACATCACATCCGATACCATGCTCAACAAATTCCCTTCTGCTGGACTCCAGAAGCCTCTGGGACAGCAGTATGGAAACGTCAGTTCCACAGGCCTTGCTGCTCTGCTAGTCATTCCCTCCCCTTCCCAGGGGCAGCTTGGTCCTTGAAGCACTACAGTTCTCCGGAGGCATTGTCCTCGGTTTGCCCAGTGAGCTTGGGGAAGGCCCAATAGGCTGCGCACACAGTCCTGGGAATGGCACCAAAGGTCAGTCGGCAGTTGCAAATGGTAAGGTTCTTCAGTTCAGAAGCTGAGCCCAGGACAGTTCATGTCTCCAGCACTCTGATGAGAGGAAGGGGTTTGGGTCCAACCGGCTTCACCAGCCTTTTACTACAAGGCAAAGAAAGGAAAGCCCTGAGAAGCAGATCAATCAGATGCGCTGGAGCTGAGTCAAATGATGATTCATATCTATGATTCTGGGTTATTATATGCCCCACACAATCTCTGATCATCTCCTAAATATCCATGCACTGGACCTCAACCCTCTTTGTGGGGGGAGGGAAGGGAGAATGGAGACCTAGAGAGATCCAGTGACTTGGCAGAGGCCAGGCAGGCTGTGTCAGAGTTGGGAACTCAGTCCCCAGCTCCAATCCCTTTCTAGTGGCCCAGCCATCAGACCATCCTTCCTTCTATAGTTTGTTTGTTTTTTAACTTAATGCCACCAATGGGAATAATCAAACTTTTAGCCTGAGTTTGGACAAATTAGGAAAACAAATCTTATGCTTAACTCAGTGTCTCCTTTAACAATTGTACCATAATACACCAAGCAACACATCTGTTATAGCAACAGATGATTCCTAAAAGAAAAAGAGTCCTTTCCACCCACTGAGAGCATTAAGCAACTTTAACACCTGTGAGGCTTACAAGTCTTGTACCCCCCCTTTACATACTGAGTCAGAGGGATAGAATTGCCTTGCCTCTTGCCAGTGCCTTCCATCAAGGGTCTTGGTACTAACAGTGAATCAAGCTTCACTACCATTCCCACCAAGTTTCCCCCCATTTTACAAATGGGAACATTGAGGCAGAGTGAGAAAGTGACATGGTTCAAGGCAAACACTGAGAAAGCGACAGGGTTAAAACCCAAACCTGCCTCCCAGACAAGTGCTTAGCCGGAGAAGCAGCTTAGAACATAAGAACAGCCGTACTGGGTCAGACCAAAGGTCCATCTAGGCTAGGAGTCTGTCTGCCGACAGTGGCCAGCACCAGGTGCCCCAGAGAGGGTGGACCGAAGACAATGATCAAGCAATTTGTCTCCTGCCATCCTTCTCCAGCCTCTGACACACAGAGGCCAGGGACACCATTTCTATCCCCTGGATAATACCCGTTTATGGACCTAATCTCCATGAAATTATCTAGCTTCTCTTTAAACTGTTATAGTCCTAGCCTTCACAGCCTCCTCTGGCAAGGAGTTCCACAGGTTGACTACACGCTGTGTGAAGAAGAACTTTCTTTTATTAATTTTAAACCTGCTACCCATTAGCTTAGAGCCAGACACTGCAAAATCTGGCCTCAATCTTCCTCCACAGGTCAACAGATCTCCCTGCTTACCTGCTCACGTACTCTGATTTTGAGCGAGGTCTAGTGGTGTAGCTGCCAGAGTTGACTTGCTTTTCAATCAGGTGCTCAATACGATCGTGCATCTCCAGATTCTGAAATACAAACCAAAACAGGAGTCACAGCTCAGTCTGGAGAGAAAAGCCAAAGGGGAGGCATGGAGCTGATTATACCAGCATGCAGCAAACAGTAAGCAAGATCAGCCATTCCCAAACCTGAACTGTTTGCCACTTTGCTAAAAAATAGTGAATGACGCTGGTGGAAAATCAAGTTCCCCTACCACTGGTGATACGTGCCCCACAATCTGGCAACCCCTTGCATCACAGGACCACATGGCACAACACTAGACAAATAGGCAACTTCTATTCCCTGCACTAAGAACCTGAGGCCAACCCATCTCTGGGCGGACTGGGGCCCAAAGAGGAGTCAGGGCAGATGAATTTCTTGGATATTTCCTTTAATTCACCCCTCCTCCATGGAATCCTGCAGCTTGAAGTGCATCTTGATACTTTTATGATCCAAATGGAGCTCATGACCCTGTGCCCAGCCCCAGCAAGGTTTTAGTAGATTAGCTTGGCAGTGTTGTAGGAACATATGGGATTAAATATGAATCAACTTGGATTTGAGATGGAAATGAAGTGCCAGATATACTCAGCTGCCTGCAGTTGCATTACTTCAGCTTTCTGCCTTCAGGTTCAGGAAAAGGGTGACATGCACCCACTGCCCCATTCCCCTCTGCACGGATTAGCAAAATGCAAAGACCCCAAGAAGAGAATGGTTAAAAGCTGCCAGCACATGTTCAATTTTAGCCTAAAAAGGACACATTTGCATTCCAATATGACGGACCTTGGAGCACAGCTTTGTCTTTTGCAAGGTTACTATCTAGCACACACACACCACGGTTTAGATGGTGCTTGGTCCTGACAGGAGTGTAGGGGACTCCAGCTTCACGAAGAGACACAAAAGATAGCGTAAGGAAGAGGCTCAGTGAAAGCCATCCAAACCTTCAGACTTCAACTCAGGCATGACCTGTCCTCGCTTGTGCATCAAGCACACTGCATGCTAAGCTTTGATAGTTTTCCTATCACCCAGATTGGGGACCCTGCAGTGCTTCTGAAGAAAGTCAAGTTCATTCCATACATTCCAGTTTGCAGATTCAAACTTTGAAGGGATTTGTAAAACAATCATGTGACATTTCACTGGTATTTAAAGCTTGTACCAGTGCAACAGGGAAGCACCAATCAGTTAAAGCAGGCTTTACTGCCCCACAATATGCACTTTGAGAAAACACCAATCCTGTAAGGGCAGCTCAACCAATCCAAAGAAAGTAACATACATACCTCAGCTTCCAAGTAGGCAACTCTCTCTTTGAGCTCCTGAATAATCACATCTTTTGAATGAATCACCGTTTTTGAATTCTGAAGCTGTAAAGGAAAGTGAATCAAGATGACTCAAGAAATCTCAGACTTGCCTACACTAGTTGAGGTATCTAGAAAGCAAATTAAACCAGAAGGATTTTGAGGTTAGCCACCAAAAAAACAACATTCACTACAGGTCTCATGTAACTTTGGACCACGGAAAAGGAACTCAAAGTTCTGGACAAGAGAGTCTCAAAACTTGCCGACAGTCTAGAATTAACTATTTCAGTGCCAGAGATTCACGGATGGGGTCCACTCAGTAGGCCAAATTCACTACTGGTATATACACAACAGCAACCAATTTCATATCCAAGTAACTGGTCTTGTTGGGCACCACAGTCAAATTCCCATCACTTCAACTGTTCCTGCAGAAGATCAGACCTTTCCCAACTGGGTCCATCATAGACCATCACCACTTTGGAGGGCAGCAGGAGGGCAGTGCATTGTGATATTTTCAAACAGCTCCCTCTGGCAGATGTCCAGAGCCAGGCAAGCTGGCTTTGGGTGGTGCCTGGGTCATGTTAACGGAGCCAAGAGAGACTGAGCACCCCTCGGGCTGCCTTGGTTCCCCTTCCTCCTCACACACAAAAGCAGGCACACTGCCTTCTCTTAAAGAGGGTCTGGAAATAGTATTTAGCTGTTCAGCTCAGATAATGCAAACCCAACATTTTCTGTATTATTTGCTTTCTTTTAGCCCCAGGAGCCCTAAGCATGGACCAGATTCACGCTGTGCTCAGTGCGGTACAAACACAGGGAGAAAGACTGTCCCTGCTAGAACCAATACATTTCCTAGCCCCAGCAAGGCACACCTACCTGCTCAATCATCTGCCGAACTTTGCGCTGCTGACTCTTCAGCATGTCATCGAGATGGTGTATCTTCTCCCGCAAGGTGGCAACTTCCTTCTCCAGTTTGGCAGACCTAGGAAGGAGACATAAGAATGAGTCAGAGCCATTTAGCCTCCCCAATGAGCAGAGGAATGTGAGACTGAGCATTTCACCCATCCTTCATCAAATGCTGCAGCACCTCCCTAGAGCAGTTTTCATTCTGCTAGAGACAGTCAGCTCCCTGGCCACATGGCACAAAAAGAGTATTAAAAGGTAGAGACAGTAAAGGAGACCAAGTTTTAGGAGAGGATGAGTCACAGAAATAGACAACTGACCCAGACAGCACATATGCCAACAGTGGTGAAGACCGAGTGGAGGGACAGAGACCAGCAACACTAACTGAGCAGAGAAAGACAAGGTCTCAGAACACTTGTTCCACATGAACAAACAAACAAACAAAAGCCATTTCCACTTGGATCCTGGAGCAAACAAGAAGCTAGTGGAGTTATCTGAGAATGGAATGACATGGAAAGATTCTGGATGTGGGAGTTTAGCTTTTTCTAACCAGGCCACCTGAGGACTAAGCTCAAATTTGAGGAAAGGATTTTGGGGCACTGCCTGTTGCAGTAGCAACAGACTGATTAGTCATCTCCTTGAGAAAACCCTGACATTCGGCAAGGAGCTGCACCCGCCCTTCGCAAGAATGCTAAGTCATGCCCCAGCGAGCTGAAAGCCTCACTCCCAAGTCAGCAACTGCTGAGAAAGGAGTGTCAGCATCGCCAGCCAAGGCCTGAGCCTCACCTATCCTGTTCGGCGAGCTTGTCATTTTGCAGGCGTCTCAATTTCTCCAGTTCTGCTTCACCCTCTTTCATCTTCAGCAGCAAACTCCGATGTTCCTGAAACAGATCACAGGACAAGTTACAACAGATGCTCTGGCCTCTATGTCAAGAGACACACAAAATGGGGCTACATGGATCTATAGCACTGGACAGTTCCTGGAGTCAGCCTTGGTTCTCAGCAGAGATGCTGATCCTATAGCCTTTATCCAAAGTCTTGCCCCCACATTGAGAGGTCTGGGGAATTGCCAGGGGAGAGACAGGTGGCAGGAGCTGTGGGAAGCAGAACCACCCAGCAGCTTGCTCTGCTCCACCATGGCAGCAGGAAACAGTGCCCACTGCACTCCTCCAAGTGACACGGCTAGGAGCCAGGCTCAGGGGAGCACAGCAGGCTCTGCTTTCCATTGCCACGGTAAGTGCAGGGCGCCTGACTCCTGCTGCCTGCATCAGCCCCCAACTAATCTCAAGTTGCATAGCTTGGGGCAAGGGGCTTGGGAAAGAGGAGATGAAATGGGGGCAGGAGGAGGTGGGGCAGGAAGAAGCATAGCTTGGGGAAAGGGCTGGAGTAGGGATGGGTAGAGATGGGGACAGGGTAGTCCTAGGCCTCACACCTCCCTAGGAACCGCACTGTCTGTATCTCATGGAAATTTTGTGCTTGTGAAAGAAAACAAGGAGCAGAAAATTCTCCCTTTCCTTGCAGGACGAGGTGGCAACAGAATAAGTTTCCCCCAAGCTATGCTCTACCACTATGTTCACCCCAGCAAAGACACATCAGGGAGGTCAGTCCCCATGGTCTGTTCTCACCTCAGCTCCTCTGCTGAGGATGCTGATACTGTCATGAGCTGTGCTGGTGGTTATTACATAGACACCCATGCCCTAGAACTTGTTACCCACATGCCATCAAATGATTACTTGGCAGACAGCTGGTACGCTTTCTGCTGTGAAGGAGGGACTTGTGTTGCAAGCACTGAAGCAGTCACCCATCCCAGTGAGCACCTGTCACTAGACCATCAACCAGGCCCCATGTTGCTCTCCAAGTGGTACCTTCTCCATTCCTGACATGAGCCTCTGTAGTTCCTCCAGCTTCACTTCCTTCCCCACCAGGTCCTCCTCCGCTTTTTTCAGAGCTGCATTGGTTTGTTCTACTTCTTTCTGGTATTGAGATGTTGTCACCTGCAACGCAGGACACAAAAGAAAGATGTTTCTGATGCTCACACAGTCAAAGCCGACAAGAAGGCCCCTTTCAGGGGAAATAGCTATAGTAGTCTCGGCAAGTGTATTGTGCTGAGGGACCCCAAACAGCACAAAGCGCTGGAGAGAAGGAACCCTTTAAGAGCTTTGAAGACAAAGTTGTAGACTAACATATGCATAAATCCTATGGCAATGGAGACAGAACAGCATCATAAATGCCGGAAAACTCATCATGCAGGCAGGAGAGTTATTGAAGTTTTCCATTTAGTTTCACAGATGAGCACATTTAGGGGATGCCTACACTTGAACCACTACTGCAGCAAAAGCTGAGCTATTGTAGGGCCATGTAGACACCCCTTACATCAACCAGCGTGGTTTCCCTGTCAGCACAGGCAATCCACCTCTAGAGGAAGTGGTAGCGTTCTTCTGTCAACTGAGCGCGGTCTACATTGCCCTGTCAGCACAGGCAATCCACCTCTAGGGGAAGTGGTAGCTACAGTGATGGTAGAGTTCTTCTGTCAACTGAGCGTGGTCTACATTGGTTGGCTTAACAACGTCACTCAAGGCTGTGGATTTTGCCAATGTAAATTCTCAGTGTAGGCCAGCCCTCAGCTTGCATGACGTTCCCTAGACCATGAGTCAGTGACAGAACTGGGACTAGAAGTCAGGAGCTCCTGGCTCCCAGTCTTGTGGGCTGATCATCAGATGCTTCCATTGTCTTGTAAGGATTCTCTTCTCCACACCCAGCAACCTCCCAGGCATGTCCAGACAGTGTACCCAAAGTGGACTCAGCTGCCAAACCAATTGATTAGCATCTACCCAATGTCCGTGTAAAACAGGAAAGTTACATCAGCTAACGAATATGGCCAATCTTCAGAAATCATGCACAGATTTCCAGTCCCTCAGCAATGCATCAGGAGTGCCCCAAACAATACATTTCTTCAAATCCCACCTCCCCATACTCTCTCCTGGCAGCAGCAGCAGGCTGGTCTATCTAAATTTCAAGTGCAGACTACCTCCCCATACTCTCTCCTGGCAGCAGCAGCAGGCTAGTCTGCACTTGAAATTTAGATAGACCTAGTCCTATATACTCTACCTGTGCTTCCCTGCCCATTAGTTCCTTAGCTCTTAAATTACCTAAACACACATCCCTGCTTTGGAGGGAGGGGAACAAGCCTGGATCTCAGTAGGGGGATCCCCTCTAGGAGCAAATACATACAGGGTAATAGGATTTCCTTTCCCAACCATTTAGGGCTAGAGGGATTTCTCTACAACAACAATTCACTCAAGCTCTATGAAAGGAAACCCCTGGAACCACTGAAACAATGGAACTAAAACCTCAAGTATCCTCCAACAGGGACTCCCCTCAGTCCCAAACACTCATTACAATCCATATGAGAGCATGTCAATGTGACAAAGCCCTACTTGAGCCCAGATTAGCTTTTCCTAAACAAAAAGGGACCATCAGTCCTGAGGAAAAGAGCAAAGCGAGACACCCTGCAGTATCAGCACCACCTAGCACACAGGGCCCATCTTTTCACTGCAGAACCTGCTTATCTCCTAAAGCAATGTGAAAACAATCGCAGCTACAGAATGAATTCTGCCATCACCATCATCTCAGAAACCTGCCCAAGTGTTTCCACTGAATAAGTTACTTGATGTGAAAACAGGGCTGGTTCCCACCTGCCCAATTTGTGCCACATTCTATCACCACCAAGACACTTGTGATCTTGATGTAACAAAGTAAAAAACTCAGAGGAAGAATTGTGTTGTGGAGAAGGCACTGATAATTCAGTAGGGCTGACTGGGTTCAATGTTTCACTCTGCTTCAGACTTCCTATGTGACAAGGCACTTCATTGTCTGTGCCTGACTTTCCCCATCTACAAAATGGGACAAATGCTTCCTCATTCATTTGTTCCAAGGCCTGAAGGGACAACTGTCACTCTAGTCTGACATCTTTTGTAACAAACATCCTACCACCTGAACAAGGATTTGAACCCTTCACCCTCAGATTAACAATCTGCTTCTCCATCACCTGAGCTACCCAGCCAATTCACTGCTGGAAACGGTTACTGCATAATCAAACCCCAAGTCCATGAAAATTTCAATGTCATGTGTTTGACTAAATATGTAGTTTGTAAACTGTAGGGTCTAATGGCAATCACTGCGCTTAATTTGACCTTTTGGCCTCACATGAGGAAGTGACTGTTTATGCTAGCTAGTATGAACTTGACGTTGATTTTTTTTTTAAATTGATCGTTAAGTGCCACCCAAGTCCTCTTTAGTTTTCAAAACTGCCTTAACAGTAGCTCTTTGGAAGCGTGTCCTATTAGTTCCAGAAGGAAGGGGCTAGTCAGTTTCAGAGAACTTCGAAAGCTACTTAATAGCAAGCACTTGAAGCCAGCCCCTCAATCAGACAAAGATTAAACTCTTTTAGTAGTTGAAGACTTTGCATTCACCTCAAAAGAGGTCTTGTCTGACTGATGCTGCTTCTCAGCCTCCTGCAGTTTCATGAACAATCTCCGTGCTGTCTCACGAATTTTTTCTATGTCTTCTCCTGAATAATCATCCTCCTGCAAACACAGCATGAAAGTGTTATTTGTCTCAAGCTGGACGTAATCAGAACAGACACATTCTTTTCTGCATGTGGAAGAGCCAGTATTTTTGACCAAAAGGTTACACTATTAACTACCTTAAAGGCTACAGAAGCTGTATGAAAAGTTTAAGATTTAGGCAAATAAGAGAACCAGTTCTCAAATTCCACAGAGTGGGGGTCTTGCACTCAAACAATGCATTTTTATAGGACCTTCTTAAGTCTCCTTTCAGACCCTCCCAGGTTGTCAGGATGTTGTCATGAACCACCCTTAGGTATCATCAAGTGAATCATATCATGACAGCTTACAATCCTGACTGATAATGAATCCTGCCATCCTCAGTTATGGCCTTTAAACTTTAGCAAAAGGGCTGCAGCATTGCACTGCGATACTCTGCAGTATGGAATGCCATTACAGGCAGTCCCCGGATTACGTACAAGATAGGGACTGTAGGTTTGTTCTCAAGTTGAATCTGTATGTAAGTCGGAACTGGCGTCCAGATTCAGCCGCTGCTGAAACTGATCAGTTTCAACAGTGGCTGAATCTGAATGCCAGTTCTGACTTACATACAGATTCAACTTAAGAACAAACCTACAGTCCCTATCTTGTACGTAACCAACTGATCAGTGGCTGATTCCAGGAACCCCGGGGCAGGGGCTT